GTTTCGCCCCCAGCCTTTTTTGCCCAACTCTCCGGATTGCTTGTCCTAAGGATTTTATTTTGCTGTTGATATCAAGAATCAAGGAAATGTATTGCACCTTTTTATTCTTTTCAAAACTTTTTGAATGTTGACTCCTCTCTCAAAATTTATTCCTGGCCCTTTTTTAAACACAAAATTTAATTTAAAGACTTTCTAAGAGTTTTCCTTTTTTCTCATGCGGAAGGCATTATCTGAAAAGCTTTTATTTTTATAATTAGGCTTCAAAATCTTCCCTTATTAGATGAACCCCTCTTTTGATGTAATTATTCTATCTCTGATGATGTGGAGTTAAAGGCCTAGCCTAGCGCACTCCGTAAATTAACTTCCTTGATCCTTGATCCCTGCGGACAAAGGACATTGGCACATCACCCACGTATCGTTGGGCCGTGAGAATGCCAGAATACGAAGTAGATGTAACCTGGAATCGTACGCAATTGCGCCCCAAATCATGATACCGCGTTGTCGCGTAGTGGGGCATTCCACAACTGCTGCCGGATATCACCTGTCTCCACGTCTACGGCACACTCGTACGCGGCGACTATCATTGGAGGAACAAAAGCGTGACTCATCTGAGAACACGACCCTGTGCCATTCCGTCGTCGACATCGCTCGAGCCCGGCACCATTGCAGACGTTGCGTCTATGATGTGGGGTCAATGTCAGTCTTCTTAACGGACGTCACGAGTGCCGTCCACTAACCACCAATCGATGGCAAATGTTTCTGGTCGATATGGTAACATCCAGTGTGTCTTGAACATGCTGTAGAATGGAGGAAGAAGTGGCTTGTGGGTGCGCCACCGTCGGCGGATGCGTCGATCCACGGGTGCTGATGTCACTCTGACACCCCTCGAACTTACCACATTTCCTTCCACCAACCATCTTGTCACAGCCAGTGCACTGTGGAAGCGTCTATTATTTTATTAGGTGTGTGTCAGCTGAGATTTGCCGTATGGATCAACCTGCTCTTCTCAGTCCGATCATCATGCCCCTCGTAAAATCGTCTGTATGCTCGAACTCCCTCCGTTGATGACGGCCTGACATTCTCTGCTATTACACGCGTCCTCTGAGAAAAGATCAAATTTTCTACGATGATTTTTCTAGCAGAAATAATGGCACGAAAATCGAACATTCTGCAGGTTCTTTCCCTTCTTTCATCTTCAACGTGCGCTGGAGAGCTGCGTATTTCGCATAATTCGGTGACGTGCGTTTACTCGGAAATTTACATAATTTTGCGGACCACTCCTTCTCGGTGTAACATTTTCAATGTCGGTAGTGTAATATGACAGGAAAAAATAAAAATATTTTATTTGGTTATTTATTAAATATAATTCCAATGTATTACCATAACTTTAATGAAATTTATCAAAGTTATAATGTTTAAAAAAATCATCGAAAAATTCCCAGACCTCCAAGTTAAAAATTTTCTACGAAAATTGATCTTAAAATTAGAACCGTTTAATAAAAGAATTTACATCACTAAAAATCGAAAAATTGTTTAAGAGGGAATAAACTAGAAAAAATTAAATAATTTCGAAATGTTTACGTTCCACTTTTTGCCCAGAAACTCGACTATCGCACTGTTTGTGTTAGAAACAGGAACAAATAACCCATTCAAAAGATAACCATATTTTTCAGTGAATTGCCAAAAATATTCCTCTTAAAGGCTTATTCACACTGAATGGCAAAAAATGGCAATCGTAAAAACAGGCAGAAATTTCATATGAATAAAATTAAGAACTTTTAAGGACGATAAATAGATTTAAAAAAAAAAAAAAAAAACCTAAGGACTTTTAAGGACCGTACAAACCCTGTTTATTAGATACAAACATCAGAGAAAAAGTGTTTATAATAAAGCTTACGTTTCTATTTCATTTGTTTCGTTACTAGTGCAACATTTGTTTCGTGGTCATTTCTTTCGTAACGTTGAAAACTGGTTACAGATCTTACATCTGAATTGTTTATTGCTACCTTAAAAATATCCTTTTTTAGACGTGGTAAAAAGAGTAAATTATTAATAATGCTAAAACATTTATTGATGCTCACAATGGAATAAAGATGAATAACATGAAAATAGCGACTTAAGTTATCATTAAGGAAGGTAACATGCAAGTTTGTAGATTGTTACTGAGAAGATTGGCACATGTTTTTCCAGGAAATAACAACAAAAAAAAAAAAAAAAAAAAAAAAAAAAAAAAAAAAAAAAAAACTGAAATGTTTCAGATTTTAAATTACGTCCAAAGGGGCGTTTTTTAACATTTTGTGTGTTACCTTTCTTTATTAAATATCATGTTCCTCGCACTTAAACCATAAGATCCAGTGCAACAGCAATATCGCAAAATAGTTTTAAAACGAGCATATCTTTAGAATTTCCGATACAGAGACTCACGCGCTGGAGATAAAAATGTTTTTTCTGCACAACGTTGCCATTGCTCGCTTTGAAATCATTGAGTTTGTTAATCAAAAATTCGTCAAAGTTTTAAAAAATAGGAAATCGATCATAAAACAAATTTCAAATTTCAAATTTGGTCTTCCACATGCTCATATTCGTTGGAGGATTACGTTATTCAAAATTCGATGACTCTATGTACCGTTGTTTTATCACAATACGAGAAATATACATACATTTATGCAGATTTTTCATTATTTAATTTCTTCAAATATAATGCAGGACTCTAACATTTTGTGGCAACAGTTTGAAAAGTGAACCGACATTTATGAGTCCGACGCAAAATGCCAAAACGAAACTAATAGTCCTTCGGGATTCAAATCCCTTTGGACTAAAAAAAAAAAAAAAAAAAAAAAAAAAAAAAGGAACTAAATGCGACCACAAAACATGCCATGTTAAAAAAAAAAAAAAGGAGGGTTTCAAAGATTTGCATTTCCCTATTTGAGAATAATGCTGGAACATTTCAGTTACAACTGTTGACAGCATACGCTTACATGGAAGATGTAAACTGTGCTGTGATTCATTGTTAACTGACTCCCTTTTCTTTTTATTGAACCTATTAAGTTAAAAGGAGGGTGTATGTTGCGTCTCAAGCAGTGACGTCAGGAGATTTTCTGTTATATGTGGTTGCAAAGAAGTAGTGATTAGTGGGGCGGAGAAAGCTTGCAGTGAAGGAGCACCTGCTAAGAATAACGGCTATTTTGGATCATTGCAGAAAACGGTAGTAGATAGCTTTTAAGAGAAATGAAAAGCTGAGGAAGCTACCCCATATGACCTGGAGTATACTAATAGAAATAAAAGGATTAGAGTTTTCCTCAGTGTGATACAATTTCATTTTTTCGAACTAGCAAACGAGACAACAAAGATGAATGCCAAGACAAAAGCCGGATTTCATACATATGTTGTAATGAATGTATTACAGGTTTTTAAAAAGTGGTTAATACGCAAAAAGTGATCCATATATCAAAATCACAAATACTACCACGTTAAACTTAATGAACAACTTTGCAAAGCAATTAACAGAAAAAGGCTGGGATTTTAATACTTCTGGAGCAGAAATTTCAGAGGTTGAGGGAAACAAATGTTAAAGCTGAAACCTATGCCAAACTACAGATCCGAAAATCTCAACCAGGACATCAATTAAAACACTTCAGTTGGATTTACCAGTATTATAAAAAGATGGTTTTGGAATAATTTTCATCTTGGAGTAACCAAATTTTAAGGAAATAAAAAAATGGTAACTTTTAAGAACTTAGGTGAAACATGTTCTCACACCTCAAATTTTAATGAAATATGTCGCCGATATAATGTATTTCCTTCAGATATTTTTAGGTATAATTGCTCTGCCGTGAGAGATGAATACAGTAAATATTTTCTCGACCGTAAATACAGTAAATATTACAGTAATACAGTAAATATTCAGTCAGTATATAGTAAATATTCCGTCGACCGTTGGTGGAAATTTCGGAAGCGATCGCCAGTCGTTGCTACGGAATTCTAAAAAAAGACAGTCATCCACATTTGGCGCTAAATCTCTGTACTTGGCCGGTCGATTGGAAAATACTTTTTCTTTTATCAAGAGAAGCCGACGATAATCACCATGAAACTTTTATTGATGATTGAGGTACAAAGTTTAACATTTCACAATCACCCGAAATCCCCAAAACAAGGCGTATAAAGTGCACGTGCTCTCGTTATATTTGCAGCCACGAACTGGCAAATATAATAAATGTGCGAATTATGAGATCGGTGGATAATACGCCATATTCCTGGCAACAGGCATGCGTTTCGTACGGTGGTTACTTTTGTTTGAGTAGTGTAATAGAGAGCAAGCAGTATGTTCGACCTACACGCAGTACTGTAGAGTAATGAATATGTTGTATGAATAGCCAGATGTTATGATACAAATACTATCAGCAACGGAGATGACGTAGCAGTACTCAAAAGACGACATGGACGATATTACAAAGCATACTAACAAGTGCTTTGTAAGGCATCTGCATACTCTGTCAAAGCAACTACATTCCTGCAAATTAGCCGAAAAGGCAAGACGACAAATAAAATAAGGCAAACTGTCACAGCTCTTAAGTCAAATAGCACACAAAATGGCACGAATTTGTCGCTATATATTCAACAAATACGAGAAAGCGCATAATATAGATCTCTAAATTCACTATGGCTGGAACACTTGTCAGAAACAGTACATAAGCGACTTTGAAAATGACGTCTGTAATAATTAACAGCAGTGATATTATTATTTGCCATAATATTTAACGCATTAAAATGACAATTTGAAGACTAGAAATAACCAGTCTCTTAACTTCATCACCAACAGTATCTCAACACTAGAATTCCCATAAAAATATGTGTTCAATATCAAAGACACAACAACGAAGTGTTACTCAATATTATTACATTATGACTTTTAATAGATAGATATATAGGATATTAAAATTACCAGTTATTCTACCGAACCAACAGGTGAATAACACACGAAATTAGCATGCATGCCCCCATCTAAAATAATTATTTATTTGTACAATATAACATTTACAAAAAGAATATACTTTCTTTAATATTAACTTCTATGTTTATTGTTCTTTCTTGAGTAATTCAAAGCCAAATATTATTTATATATAATATTCCATACATCACTTTATGACAACAGAATTAAAATTTAATCTCTACATAATTAAAAGTGAAACCAAAATGAGTACAAACAATTAGCACTACACAAAACAAAAGCGCACTCTCTCTAGAAATACACACATTTTTTCTTCACAGTTTCATAATACAGAAATATACTGAATTTTAAAGATTTGATAATGAAAGTATAAATAGAATATATACACTGGAATACATATTTAAATACCTGGAATATAAATTACATCACAGTCGCAGAGAAAGAAAGACTTTACCTCCTACTAGTAGAATATTGATTTTACACTTCCATAACAGATTTCATCAATAAAAAAAATGATTTTTTTAATTTAACAACTACCTATAAATACATATAATCTATGAAGAGCATTAGCAATGAACAAAAATTTTCTTTTAGAAAATCTATTTTAAAAAGAAATTGCAATTACAACCATAATTTTTAAGACTATAATTATATTACTAAGATCCATACGAGCAATCTTAAATGACAGTGATGTGAATATGCAGAATGCACCAGAGATCTATTAAAACATTTATTCACTTAACCAATGGTATGCACACTACAATATTATATCCAATAACTTCTTGGTCATTATATACAGAGACTAGAATGCATTTTAAAAATGTTGCTAAAGAAATCTTAATACTGTATTCATAAAAAGTTTTTTTTTTTTTAAATGTTTCTAAGCAATCGTGATAAATAATAGTTAAAGCAATAAAAATAAAAATTATAAGTTGTTATGTTTCTGAATATATGAAGAAATTATTATAATTTTTAAAAAAAAGTTAAACTGGCATTCCAGTTTATAAAAAAGAGTATATTACAGTTTATGTCAGTAAAGCTCACTAACTGTTCAGAACAACAGGACTGCAAAAAATTCTGTTAATCTTAACGGAATATTTTTGTTCCTGAAGAACAGAGGCATGTATCTGATCGCCCTCGAAATCGATAGAGTTTTATGTATACCATACGCCAATGTAAAGTTACTGTTTGGCCCAATTTTCAAGTTTCATTCTTACAACAGAATTAATTAATAATAGTGATACAGAATAAATCAAAATTCTTCATTCAGAAGTTCTCTTCGGGTTTTAAGAATTTGATATAGTAAATTTTTACGAAAAATAAATAAATAGCTTCTAAGAAAAAGTGCCCTTTTAAGGTTTCAATAAATTTGTAATTTTTTAAAAAAATTTTAATACTTTTAAATTTTTTTGCTCAAAAAGCCAAGATGATCATTGTTAACCTACTAGTGTCAGCAGTTTTAGTCCTTGGAAATTAGCATAAAATAGTTACTTTCTTTCAGAATAAAATAATTTTGCGCATTTATATTACATTTAAAAAACAATATCAATAAAACTTATTACCTTAACTCTAAGTTCACTTAAAACTTCAAAATTTAATCAGAAAAACGCAATTTTTCACGTCCCCATATTCACAGTTCACAGCCACATAAAAATGTAGTAATAATTTTAAAACACCGTGATAAGGAATAGACTATAATCTTGAGAAATAATGCACCGTAAATATACCTAGTATTGTTGTTCCACAGAAATTAATCTTAAAAGAAAAATTATGCATAAAAGTATCTGATCGATGTTTCCTTGCAATTGCAGTAATCTTGATTTAGTTTCTTGAAATTGCATGCGACATTACATACTGTATGTCACATGCAATTTCATTACATACTGTATGTATAGTATTCTTTTATTCCTTACTTTTTTTAGGATTAAGCTAAAATACCAGAATCACTTAATTTTACACAGAAGAGAAAGGAAATATAGCGCGCAAAATATTTTATTATTTTATTTAATTTGGTTAACTGCACGCAATTTATGTGTTAAATTTCACCGTATTTATTTATGCTGGACGAATATCCTATTACATACAGCATTCTTATTACTGGCGGTTCATATAACCAAGGTAATTGCTGATATGTATCACCAGCTGATATAGAGGCACTACTCTTATTTATTACAGCAATAGTAATTCACTATATTTCCATTTCTTAATCTATATTAGCTTACGTGTAATCTATAACTTTCACTGTGTAGTGTACCATTCAATAAATCTCCTTCAGTTCTAGTAAGCATAGTAAAGAAAAAAAGCAATAATTTATGTACCTAAAAAAATACTTTCACAAAAAAAATTATATATTAATTAATTTATGTCTCAAAATACTAGGGATAAATCTTCAAAACGTAAACTAAACTGGTTTTACTTTTTGCAAAAATAAAATCTTTCCTATTACGAAAATAAAACGATTTGAGCCTAATCTGTTTGGTGGAAACATAAACATCACATCCGAAATGGTAAATGCCAAAAACAGGCATCTTTATCAGCCTAGGCTGAAATTTAAACAAAAATGAAAGGCAATGAAAAAAATTGAATGCAAGAGAATTAAGTTCATAATTTAATATAAATGATGAATCAGTATTATTTGTCTAGTCAATCTTCATTCGTTGATTTGTCATTCTGTATATGATGGAGTCTCGACCAGGATCCATATTCCAGAGGGCTAAGCTGATTCCAAGAATAGATAACGTAAGTAAAATGCCGATGAAAGCTAGCATAGCAAAAGTCACAGGAAACATCGGATCCCACTTTGGTGCTAGATTATAGTCGTTAGTAGGTTGTGGTGCCTGCAAAAAAAAATATCAACAGTTTATTATGAGACAAATATATATTACACACACAGAAGAGCCATTACATTAACCCTTCTTCTAGAGCAATGAACTCGCCCGGAGACAAAACCAAAGCGTACGCGTGGCTGGTCCTGAACTGTATAAAGTGTTCATGCACTATTTTTCCATACGCAGAATAATAAGTGATATAATAAGGAAAGACACATCTTTATCGAAATCTGATAAATGATTTCGATAAAGGTCAAAACGTCATGGGTCGGCGCCTGGGAACATCAATCTCAAACTACAAAACAAAACATGCCGATTTTGGTGATTTATGACAGGAAAAACAGCATTCATCGGCTCATTAATACCATAAAAATATTAATTACGAATATATCGATGAATTTTTCATGTCAAGCTAAGAAACTATCAGTATTATACTTATTACATAATGAATATTTTACTAAATAGAATTTTTACTCTAAATTTTCAGAGTTAACAGAATTCTATGATCCATAGTGTTTTCTATTTATCCACAAATTGTTTTCATAAAATACTTTTCTTTATTTTGGGAAACACAGTTATTAAAAGTACACATCTAAGATCAATATTTAAGAAAACAAAACCTGTAGTAATCTTTCTCCACCTCTTTGTAAAATCAAAATGCATTATACAGAGTACAATATCACAAAAAGCAGAATTTAGATTTAAACTGAAGACTTTATTTTCCGATGAATTTACACTTTCGAATCACTGAAAAACATAAAAGAGAAACTCTACAGCAATAATACTAATAAATGATGGTAACCTTGCCGCAGCTAGCCTTCTTTATTTTGCATCACAAAATATTACTAACTTGTCATATTTACTCGCGTATTTTTCAGCTTTTTCTTAATTTTATCGTGCGAAAATTGAGAGGGGAAAATTATGCATATAATTTAATTCCGAATGGTAAGGGTACCATAAGACCACAACAAATGAAAAGTAGTCATATATAAACTATAGCTAACTATCACAATATTATTTCTTTAAAGAAAAACTACGTTCCAAGGGAAAGAATCAACGCCACCTTCCAGTAGTTTGCAATGGTCTATCCTTGTTAGTAAGCGAAATCAATCACTACGTGGACATGTCCATTTTAAATTTTAGAGCAGCCCGTTCTCAAAACGCACTGAAGAAGGGGAAAAATAAGCAAACACTTTAAAATTTTCAGGACCTGGCGCTAAAAAGTTAAGAGGGGAATACGTGTGGAAATAAAGTACATAAAAATAATAAAATACAAATTGCTTGCTTGATTAATTATAAATCAAGCAAACAATTTCAAAGGAAATTGCAACAATGACAAAGAACAATTCGTTTTAAGAAAACAACGTAAATTCGCAAAGACTTCAGATATACAGCATAACAGAAAGTTTTACTTTATGGGAGGCTGAGAAAAGAGAAAAAGCTGAATCACTTCTGTTACCGGCACATCGCAAACAATATAATAATAGCAATAAAAAGATGCGCTTCACTGTCCATTATGAAAATGGAACGACAGGCACTCGGCAGGGGGATTGACATCATTCGCGACGTCCGAGGCGTCACCTCTCGTGACATCCACAGATTTCCCCCGAGGAATCTCTGCGCAAAGCAAGTTGCCTCTCTCTCCTTCCTACTCGTTGGTTTTCGAAAATCAGAAAGCATATCAACAGCGATCGCGCCTGTAAAAGCATCTTTTCCGCAACACCTATGATTCCTCTCCCCCTTGGACATCCATCATGTCCCATCCTCATCCCATCATTTGTCCTCCAGAGACTTCCTTCACACCCCTCTACCGCACAAAGCACGTACGGCGCACGTCCAGTAGCATCCTCCCCAAAGGCCCTCTTCAAGACTCTCCACGGAGACAGTGATAGATAGCGAAGTGGCAATAGGGAAGCGAGCGATTGTTTTGAGTGTCCCTCTTTCCTCCTCTCATAATTACTCGCCAAAAATCACGCCAATCGAATTACGCGGTTGGCACCCCCCTCCGAAAACGTATCACTCACTTTGGGGTCATCCATTTTGCGAGAGATGCTGGATGTTTTTATGGCTCATTGGCGTTTAAGTGGGGGGGGAGGGGGAATAACATTATAATGCTCCGCCATTTCAGTAAGTGGTGTGGTGATGAGTATGTTGCAACACATATTTGATTCTGGCAGCTGAAACCGAATGCAATATTAACGCGAGATTGCTAGATCCATGCGGAGAAGAGTAAATCATATAAAAGAGAGAATTTTGTTCATAAAAAAAGAAAGAGATTTCCTTCCAAAATATGGATAAATATCCATCTTTCTTTCAACTGACGAAAAAGGAATTAGAGAATCATCACCTCGGCATTGATAACAACTTTAAATAAATCAAATCATTTCACTTCAGTTAATATCTATTGGAGGCAGATGAATCAACTATATACACTATATACACTGAATTGAGGGATTTAATTGTCGACAAAATGTTGTTGAACTTTAAAAGAAATTTATATGAAAACGTCTTTTTTTAAGCATAAATAATAAAATTATTCACTATAAAATGCATAAATGTATCAGAAAATTCTTTCTTAAATCAAAGATTTCAGACATAATAAATAAAATAAAGCAATGAGAAAATAAACAATATAAGAAAAAAAAATATCTCACACTAACATATATTACACATATTCTATATGTGTAATATATATGTGTATATGTATGTGTCTATATATATGTGTATATATATGTGTCTATATATTATGATACCTACAAAGTCACTTACAGGCTATTATGTACCAAAATACACATATAGTTATTTGACATGAAGTAACGATCACAATCGTATGAAAACATGACCCAGTAGCTTTAAAAACCACAGGAAAAGTTGAGACAAAAGGGAGGAACTGAAATGAGGCGGAAAATTAAAATATAACAAATTAAACATTTAAATATTAGTGTTAAAGTGATAAAATATATTTAAGGACGAATCATGACATTTGGCCCAGGTTATAGAAACCTCTCGGCATTATTCAATCACGAAATTCTTGGTACAATTCTATTATTGAGATCGTATGAAACCCCGCCGAAATTATGTGCGCAAAAGCGCTACATCTACACTGACGAACCAAAACATTATAATCACTATTCAATAACGCATTGCCGAACTTTGGCCTACAAAACAGCTGCAGCTCGCCTTGACATGTATGCCACAAGTTCTTGATAGACGACTGGAGACAGGTTGTACCAAATGTCTAAACTTCTATCACGTAAAGTTGAGATATTCCGACGTGGTGGTGTTTGAGTTCTGAGCTGCCTATCTATGACATCCCAAATGTGCTCTACAGGGTTCACATCTGGCGAGTTAGGTGGCCAGGAAATTAATTGGAATCCACCATTATGCTCCTCGAAACACCCCAACACAGTTCGAACCTCGTGGCATGGGGCTTTGTTCTGCCGGAATGACAGAAGATTCCAACTTCCAGCTGGGAAAACAGACGCCATGTAAGAGTGAAACTGATCCGCAATTATGTTCAAATAGTCCGCAGCGTTCATGGTCTGTTCTACCACAACTAAGCCGCCCATGAGAACGTCCCCGAAAACAAAATACAGTTACCACCAGCCTGCGCATGATCTGCTGTACCGGAGGAGAACAATTGTCCGCCTGTAACACGGCCATCGACATGATGATTGAGAAATCGTGATTCATCCGACCAAGCAGGACAGGAACAAGTACAGGGGACACCACGCCATCTCCATTGACAAAAATGGTATAGCCCCTATGCACTACCTCTCTAGCGTACCGCCACTCCCACAGGGGACCTGAGCGCCCTTTTGGGGCATTTATTGAAGATAATTAAACAATTACATCCGACCAGGCAACCGTCTTCCACTTATCCATGGTCCAGATTCGATGTACGCGGCCCCACTGTAATTAAAAATAACGCTTCGTCAACAGAGGCACATGAGTGGGACTTCTGCTGCGCCGTCCCATATCCAACAGTGTCCGCATCTGTTCCGAAACACTCACAGTTGGACCTGCATTGTATTGGGCTGTCAGCTGAGACAGCTGATTTTGCTGTACCAAGCAGGATAGTCTCCGAAGTCTTTTTTCTTAGATGACGCGTGAATGTCCAACACCTTGGCGTCTATTGCTGGTTTCACCATCACTTATCAACTTTGCATAAATACTAACAACGGCAGATCGTAAAAACGTACCAGTCGTGCAGTTTCGATGATAATACGTTCCGAGTCTTCGGGCCATTATAATCTGCCCTCTATCAAATTCGATTAGATCAGCAGCCTATCCCATCACTCGAAGTGCAAAATGATTCCTTACCTTCTCCAAAAGTGATTTAATACCCTTCCAATTAATCTCATGTCCTCCACGTCATCCAGACAGGTTTATTGCGAAATTCGGGAATGGTTATAATGTTTTGGCTCGTCAGTATAGCAAACGTGCCCATTTAATCGCAAACTGTGCGTAAATTTAGATTTTTCTAAATGCATGTAAATTTCGATATTTCTAGAATTTTAAGTCGCCATTGAAATGCTACTTTAGTTTTTGGATTCTTTGAAAACTCTGTGGATCTAACAATTTGGGAACTGCCCAAGGACGCAAATACCCTCACAAGCGAAATGGCGCTGCAGTAAAGAATCCTGTAATGAGAAGAAAGAATTAAGAGCCTAAATTTAGTTCGAAGGATCGAAAATCGCCTTCCTTACAGCCGTGAGGTTCATTTATTTTCGGTGTCAGGAGATGACATCTATTGAATTTCGTGAACTCCAGCTGAAGATGAACTACAATACAACTGTAGACAGGGACAGTTACATGCGCGAGGTGTGTGCTACAACTTTACTCGGCTTAAGTTAAAAATCGGAGGATGTGACAAGATTATTGAAGTAGACACGAAAGGCTTTCAATTCGAGGAAAGAACAACGTTGAACGTTTTCTTCCGCCATAATGGGTTTTCGGTAAATTGTGCAGAGAAACAAATGAATGTTTTTTAGTTTTTGCTCCAGATT